TCCCCGTTTTTTTTTATAACATTGCTATTGTATTATTTTCAAGAATTTTCAAAAATAAACCTTTTAACTTCTGTAACTTTCATCAAGATCAAGGCTACCCTGCAGACCAAAAACACATGAAAAAACCTTTTCATAAACATTTAAAAAAAAGTTACAGAAGTTAAAAGGTCCATTTTTGAAAATATTTGAGAACAATAAAGAAGCAATGATAAAAAAAAGGGGAACTTAAGAACACAAGTGTATTAATAAAATATCTTCGAAATGGACCTATCTATACGGCCACTAAGTTTGGCTAACCCTCTGCCAAACACCCTGTATAGAAGAACCATAGAGAAGCAGTTTAAGATAGGACATCGATGGTAGGAAGTGCGTCGTTACCAAAATACAGGATGTTGGAATTTAAAAAAACCCCTTCAATATCATCTGAAGGGCTAATACTAGGCTGTTAAAATTTTCAGGAATTATTGATGTAGGAATGATATTAGAAAATTCGTATAATTCACCCCCATTTTCTACCTGGAAACACCCAACAAAAAATATAAAATAAAATTTGAAAAAAAAAGCAATCTGGAACAAATTTTATTTTTGTTTTGGGGTGGTTCCAGGTAGAAATATCGTTCCTAAATCAATAATCCCTGAAAATTTGAACAGTTTAGCATTCAGATGATATGAAAGGGGGTTGTTTAAATTTCAACACCCTGTATTTTGGAAACGACGCACTTCAGACCATCGGTGTCCTATCTCAAACTACTTCTCTATGGTTCCTCTATACGGGGTGACAATTTGAAAAGTAGCAATCGTGAATATCTCTTAGACAAAAAATACTATCAGGAAGATCTCAAATACGTATCAGGCAGGGGATTGGAGGGGGCACCAAAATGAGGCACTTTTTGTTTCAAACAGTTTCACCCCACCTCACCCCTTAGGGGGTAGCTACCCTAACTTATTTGTTTTTAAATACGAATCTACCCTGTGTTGCACATCGTTGGATAACTCGTTGCTATCCTTTTACAGTCATATAGAAAAATCTCAAATCGTATGATTAGTTTTTGAGGTATCGGTGTTTAAAAGTAAGCACATTGTGAAAAAAAGTAGTTTTGACCAATGTTTTGACTATCTCATAGACAAAAAAATTCTGTCATAAAAGTCTCGAATACACATTGGCGAAACCAAATATTGTGTTTATCGTAATTCTATCTGCTTCTCCACCTCTCTAAAGACGAATAAAAAACCTTTCAAAGGAGCTATCATACAGGGTAGGTTCTCATTTTAGAAAAATTATTAGGAGCGGCTAACCCCCAAGACAAGAGGGGTGTGGGTTAGGCAGTAAACATATTTGGTTTCCCCGACGTATATTTGAGACTTTTATGACAAAATTCTTTTGTCTAAGAGATAGTCAAAATTACTAGTTTTCAAAATATGCTCACTTTTGAACACCGATATCTCAAAAACTAATCATCCAATTTAAGATTTTGCTATATGACTATGAAGGGATAGCAACGAGCTATCCAACGCTGTGAAACATAAGATAGGTTCGTATTTAAAAAAAATAAGTTGGGGTAGCTACCCCCTAAGGGGTGATGCGGGGTGACCCAAAAAATGCCCCATATTGGTTCCCCCTCCAATCCCCCGATACGTATTTGAGATCTTCCTAATAGTATTTTTTGTCTAAGAGATATTCACGATTGCTACTTTTCAAATTGTCACCCTGTATGTATATCCTAGCATTTTTGACCAATTGAACGGGGTCACCCTATATAGAGCATTCAATTTCGATTCAGAGTAGTCAATTGAAGGTACATTAACATGTCTTAAAAATTAACTGGGTTATGAGTGATTTTGCCACGGGTTTTGCCGAGGATTTTGTTCCTGTCAACACCTGAGAGCTCAAAAAAAAATAATCGTGAAAATGCTTTTCCACTAAATTTGACCTCCGTTTTTGATTATTCAATTGCCAAAGCCAAAAATTTTAAAAACGCATGAAGATAAATATCCACTAACTAGTAACCACATCCCAGCACTACATCAAACAGTATTCTTATTGATAAAGGAATTGAAGGAATATTTGAAGGAACTAAATGTACAAATTTATTATTAATTCCTGAAAAATTTATGTACAAAATATTTCTTTGTGGCCTAAGTAACAGTCTCACTACTAAAAAACTCAAATTTTATAATTATTTCATATCTGCCTTTCTCATAGTAGGTAGGTAGAAAATTCCTGTATTTGATAAAGCCTTGGATAAAGTGCAACATTTTATGGTGATGGGAAATTTACAGACAGAAAAAATTTAATCCAAATTAGGGTTGTGCCGTTTGAAATTTTCAAATGAAATTTCCATGTTTGAAATATTCAAATTTGAAATTTTCAATATTCGAAAAAAGTGAAATTTCACAGAAATTGCAGGTGAAAATTTCAATTTGAAATTTCCCAAACTTTGTAGAAAATTTCATATGTTTCACTAGAAATTTCATAAATTTCATCGAAATTTTCAAAAAGTGTACATGTTTCGCCGGGAAATACAAGGAGTTGTTGGCAATAATGGCAACGCTGCTCACTGGTTGTCTTGCTCTGGATTGTTGGAATCTTAATTCTCAGCAAATTTCATAGCTTAGGTTGGAATTCATTTGCCACGATTCGATTTTACAGGACACGACACGACAAAACAAGTTTCTGAGGCAGATGAATTTCATGTTGCAAGCCTAAACTTATGGGAAGAAATTCCGGCACTCGGGCGCTTCGCACACTTGTGCCGGAAATGTCTCCTCCCGCACTTGTTAGGAAAATAGCTAATATTTATTTACATTCGACACTTGAGCCAGAACAAAATGTCTGAAGAATAAACTAATACCACAGCCAATACACAAAGTCACATAGTCATGTCACATCACAATTGAATTTTATAAAACATTTTTTGACAGTTCCAACAGCCAAATAAATTTTGTCATTTATTGTCATGTGACACAAATCACCCAATCATGTCAACATTATACTGAAAACAGCCCTAGGGTTGTTCTCACTCTGTGACATTGCCTTGAACATTGCTGTCAAAAAAATTTCTATCCGAATAACCCTCGAACATTGATAAATACTCAAAAATTTTACAACAACTTTTTCAAGCTTGTTGTTTATAAAAAACAGACCTCCGCTAGCGCGTCGGTCTGTTTTCAAGCGACAATCTTTCGAAATCTGTTATAAAAATTTTTCGAATAATTATCAATGTCCTTGGGTTATTACCACTGAAAATTTCATGGAATTTTATGAAATTTCATTGAAAATTTCATAGTGAATCATTTGATTTTGAAAATTTCATGATATTTTGGAAATTTTCAGAAAAATTCAGAAAATTTGAAAATTTCACGGAAATTTCAATATTTCCATGAAAATTTCAGACTGAAATTTCCAGATGAAGTGAAAAGTCAAAATTTACCTAACCCTAATCCAAATCTACAAAACCAATAAACTTGTCTTGTGAGCGAATTGGATTAGAACAAAAACAATTTTTGTTTATAATGTTGCAACGTAAATCTAAAATTACAAAACAAAAAATTTAAAAAATTTAGCTCACAAATCAATAACAAAAACAAAATTTTGCTGAGCATTAAATTTAGAAGCAGAATTTCTTCAAGGTATTTAGGTAGCTGCAAAAGGTAATTTAAAACCTGTTACTGGTCAAAAGTCAAAATATTACATTTTCCTTTCTTTTGCAAAGGCTTTTTCAAGAAAAAGTGAATAAAAATCAGTTATTAACGCTATAACATAATTATTGCATTTTATGCAATGAATAATTGCACGAATAATTATTAGTATTGCAAATAGGGTAACTGTAAACTTGATACTGAAGTAGATAGGTATCGAATTTCCTGGAGGTTTTCTTACAATTTTAACCATAATAGAATGCATAGTGGGGGGCCTGAAAACATACATAAAATCCTAATAAATTGTCTAGGTATATTTTTAGAACAGGAGGATTTGGATAAAGTCCAAATAATGTTGTGCACCTAGATGCATTATAAAATACCTGCCTAATTTAATTTGTATTGTTTTCTTTTACAGAATTTGAGTCCTAACTTGTAAATATGATACTTTTTTTTATCAATTAGTAGTGACCTGCTTTGAAAAAGTTTAAACCTAAGTAAATATTGATATTTAGCCTTGTATTTAGCATAGCTTTCAGAGCAAATGATATTTGTTATCTAGTGCTCCAAGATATGTTTCTTATTTTTTTTTTAGAATCAGTGCAAATTGCAGGAAAAGCAAAGACAAACAAAACATGCTCTGTTCAAGCAGTTTTGCTTCGAATCAGTAAAAGCTGAATTCTTACTGCATTTCTGAAATCAAATCTTATAAAGTTATTAGGTCTAAGGTACACACTATATAAACAGTAGGCTCATATGAATAAAACAGAAGCAAATGCTGTTGCTTAAGTTTTTTGAGATAAACATATTCGCTTTAATACACTTGATTCATACACCAATTATTATCCTTAGCAAAAATTTATTTAGGGGGAATATTTTAAGATTTTCTAATAATTAAAATACTGTAAGTATTTCTCTTTCAAAGAAATAAGGACAATTTACTTGTTAGTTAACACAAATGGAGAAACCACATACCTACCTACAATGGAAAAGAATGAGAAAAAAAACAGCCATGCCCAAAAAGTTAAAGGGACCATTTTGATCTGTCATAAAATAAGATATAAACAAACCATTTTCTTTATAATAATTTGATCATTTCGACGACCATCAAAGGTTTTTTTATTTTTATTTTGCATGAACGAGTAGTTTTACGGTCTACTGCTCTACCCTAATAAAACGTCTCAACAGTAATTTGATTTTACAAATTACAACGCACCTGCAGAGGTGCACTTGCTTTTATGCAAGGCCATCAGGGGTTCAGTTTTATATTATGCGCCCTTCGGTGGGGTTTTCAGCCGGATTTCTTCAATTATCGCACAATTAAACCCGTTTCAAGTAAAATAATGCACAAATTCACTTACCTTTAAGTTGGATTTTTTCGAAATTTGACAGTTAAGGGCACAGCACTAAAATTGAACGAGCGAGTACGTCCCTCCGCAAACGAAATCAGACTGGCTGAAAAATTTTCAAGAAATTTGATCGCTGAAACGATCTAAGAATAAACTCGCGCTTGCGCGTGTTTACACACCACCAACTACAAGGTTTTGAGAGGGGTCCCGTCCAAGGCATTTTGAATTTCTGAATTCTGAATCACACATTGCAAAAATTCGGCCACAGTTTTTTTGTGAATGAATAGGATAGCATAGGAGTTTGTTGCAAGTTCTAAAAAGGAGAAAGGTTGATTAACTTTTTGTGATTTAATTGTTTGAGCGTCCCGCTCGCGCAGGCAGCCTTAAGAAACTACTAACGATTTAACGATTGCTCATCCTCATTCGTACGTTCGCCAATTCTCGAGTCGGCAAGGTCTGCGAGTGACGTCACCAGTACTAGCAGCATAGCAGCTTATAGTGACGTCTCCCGCAGTCCTCGATGTGATGCTTCCCATTCAGGTTGTGCTTGTTTCTTCGTCGATTTTAAATGAAGGAAAGATGATTTTAACAAGATGATAACGTATAGAAATTCTTTTATTTCACCTCTACTGTTTTAAACTCGGCTAATGCATTTTACGCCAAGCGTTGAGGTCTGCGGTCTGCGGCTGACATGGCAAACACTTCCAGCTCAATTTAAGTGTTCAGGTTGGACTACTTAGCCCTACTGGTGAGTAATGAGGTGTTTTTTCACGTCTCAAATGTTTTGAAACGTTTTTCAAAACTAGTTTAAAACAGTGTACATGACGTCATAAATTCTCGGCGAGAGAAAATGGTTCTAAAACGTGGATTGGATTGTATTTCGAAACAATCGAAACCTATTTCCTGTTTTGGAACCAGTTTCAAAAAAGTGAACGCGAGAAAACAGCTATGGTCTAAAATAATTTCGTCTTGCTTTTATACAATAAGAAAAACAAAGATATAGAATTTTGCAGAACCGCACAAATTAAGCATCTTATCGATTCCGATTCGGTCAGGCTGAGTTCGGCTTTGCACTCCTCGGAACGGAACGGTATGAGCATGGATATCGTGACGTCATACACAGACTGGGCTCCAATAACAATTGAGATTTCACTATGCGCCCTGAACAAGAGGTGTGTTCGGGTAGCACGCTATCGCACTGTATCGCTATGCAACGCAAATGCTATTTATTTTTTAGGCCCGTATTCATAGTCGATGCTCAAGGTTGTGCCTTGGCTCAAGTACGACTTGTCGCCATATTTGCGTTTCCAAACAGCACGGAATGATGCTCACAACTGTCAAAAATTGAAGCTTGGGCCAAGCACCCGGTCTATAGTTGTATTCCTTTCAAGAGCTTGAAACACTCGAGCTACTCGCTTCGGTGCTTAGTCGCCCCCGATTTGCAGGGAACATATGCGTGGTGCACCAAACATTTTTCGAAAGGAATAAGCGCGTGAAGCCCCGGAGCTGTTCCGGAGCGCCTCCTAGGTGTGAAAGGAATACAACTTATGAATACCAGGCTTAGGGCGGGTATTATAAAACTGCTTTGAGAGTTAATATGAAGTTAACTTTTTGAATTACATGTATTTTCAGAAGTTAACTCTCAAAGCAGTTTTATAATACCCGCCCTTAGCCTGTTCGAGGAGATGCTAGAGCGGTGGAGCCATTGGTTGGCGCAGTCAAGCTCCGTGAACAGTCGTAGCGGGGTATGAACCTTGGCGTAGTATGTAGAGGCAAGGATAGTACACGTGAAATGTTTGTTATTTCAAATGTGTTAATCTAATCAAAAACAAAACTCCACAAAAATTAATTAATTACAAAAATTATTAAACAACAGCGAAAATCCATAAACAACAAAACAACCAAAATAGCTCGAACGAAATCAAAGTATTTTCCTTGCGTTCGGTATTTTGCTCAAAGAGCAGAGCGTGCTGAGCAGAGCCATAATCACGTGACCAGTGAGCGAACAGAGCAGTTGAACGCTATATAAAAGTGCCAGAAATTTTAATAAACGAACGCGAATGAGGCTGCACCGAGTACACTTTTCAAATAAACGAACGGTAAAGTCAAGCTCGGAGAGCTCGGACCAAAATAACGAACGCACGGTTTATACACAGACCACGGAGGCATATATGACGCAAAATGGCGCTAAAGCAACACCCTAACCTTCCCCAAGGATAATACACACTACTAATGATTGCTTATCGTTTTTGGTAATCGTGGCTATATTGATGTAGCACCATTGTCGACGTCATTAACTAAGTCGTCAACTGTTTACGCCAGCAGTCGTAGTCTAAATTTATGATAAAATATTATTTAATTTTGATTGATTATTAATCAAAAAGCGGGAGCTTTCCGCCTAAATCGAGTTATGAGTACTAGGCTTAAGCCTAGTACTGATAATTGCGAAATTCGCACTTTTTTGACATTGCTTTGACAATTTGACGTTTTATGCGTGAATCAAACGTCAAAGTGTCGAAGCAATGTCAAAAAAGTGCGAATTTCGCAGTTATGAGTACTAGGCTTTAGAATGTTAAATAATGTACTAAAACCAAATATGCATAAAGCGTTTTGTATTTTTCAACCTTTCCGTGTGTCATACGTCCATCCAGGCCACCAAAACCTCATAAAGTCTGTTTTTTTTTTAAGAGAAAACCCCTATGTCAAAAATTTCGTACCTAACAATAGAATAGCCGCTTTCCAGCTGACCATTTAGAGCACGGAATCAAGCTTTTGCGCGCAAAAAAAAATGCTTCAAGCGCGTATTCGTGTTCTAGCCGTACCTACTGCGCTTCGAGACCTGCTAACTTTTGCGTTTCAAACACAGAACACTGTGCTGCACCGTGCTTGAAGCACACAGCTGGAAAGCGGCTTATGTTATGTCCAGAGCGCGTTTATTCTGAGAATTATTATAGTCGAATAAGCAAATTCTTCTAGATGAATCCAGAATCGTCTATATGGCGCGTAGTAGTCAGGTTAAATAAAAGTGTCGTTGCAGTCAGTGAATACGAGACTCTGTTATGTTCAGTTTTAACAAGTTAATAATAAATTAATTTTGTTCAATGGAAGTTGTTATGGTTTGTGAAGTGAAATAGGCAATTTTTCGCGAGGATAATCAAGCATAATCTGTCATGCTGGGTTATGTGATGTGTCAATTGTGTCATACTCCCCTAACTCCCTCCCTATTTCTTCCTCTCTAATCCCCAAATTTTGAGCCTGCGAGTGACGTTACTATCAACAGCTTATATTGATGACGTCACCTGCAGACCACGATGGAATGCTCGCGATTCAGGCGGTGCTAGTGTCAATTGTTAATTTTTTCGTCGATTTTAAATGTAGAAAAGGTGAGTTTCGGTCTGTTCTCACAGAAGAAATTAGGTGTTCTTGATCCTCGAATATCCCAGAATTTGATGTTGGGGGAGTTAGGGGAGTATATGGAGTTAATATGACACAATTGACACATCACATAATCCAGCATCAATGAACTATCCAGCATACTCGAGTATGCTTGGATGCATAGGCAGTAATAAGACGAATTAGCTTGTAGTTGCAACATTTCTCAGCGAATCTAGACGGTGTTGCCGCCGTTGCCGGAGCCTACAGTGCCTCTATATGAGACAAGTGGCGACAATAGCGCCTAAGCTCCTCAATAATGTATTTGTTTTTTCTTTTCTTTCTGTTCTAACTTTTTATCACAAAATAGTCAATAACAGGCACAAATAACAAAAACAAAAATATATTAACACAAAATTGCATAAACCTCCATAGGATCAAATGATTTTACACAAATAACTTTAGCGCCTAAGCTCCGCCCACCCGCCATGTTTTGTCGAACTCATTCAATAATGTATTTGTTCTTTCTTTTTCTTTCTGTTCTAATTTTTTCTCACAAAATAGTCAATAACATGCACAAATAACAAAAACATAAATATATTAGCACAAAATTGCATAAATCTCCATAGAATCAAACGGTAAACACAAATAACTTTCGACAAAACATAGCCGATATTCTGCAGCTAATCAAAAATGAGTACCTCTATTGTCGCCACTGTCTTGTATAGAGGCACTGTACCGGAGCCGAGTGTAGCAAAGCTGCCGAAGATGCACGAATTTATAACAACATGCAGTGACATGAATATACAACTAGTAGCCTGGCCTGTCTGTATATGTAATTAACGATAAATGAAACACAAACTTTCATTAAATAGATACTTTTATTCTCATTATTTCAATAATATATTTATCATTGTACTTTATTTTGAATTATTTATTAAAATTGTACAGTCAAAACTATAAAAAAATAAACTAATATCCGTGTATCATGCTTATCTTTCGCTAGTGTATTTTTTTAACATCAATTAATAGACTCAGACTATTATATAAATATATTACGATTATCTATTTAAATGTCTTTTGTTTATTGATGCAATAGAAACTTTGTTTCTTCAATACATGTTAATGAATTTCTAGTTTACAAAAAAGCGAACATTTAGTGCAGTTCCAGTTTTCTAAATAGTAGAGGTCTGTTTCTGCAGAAATCACAAACCAGTCAGAGCGAATTTCATTGGTTGAAAACAGTCAGAAAACTAGTTTCAACTAATGAAATTCACTCTGACTGCGGTTTGTGATTTCTGCAAAAACAGACCTAGTAGGTACCTATATCATTATACCTACCAAGGGACAAAAGTGGATCTTTTAATCTTGCACCAAAAATTTGTACAATTCAGGAAATTTAAAGACACTTTAATCCCGCTGTTTGTACCTAATTTTTATTCACTCTCCTTAATTCAATTGATTCTGAATTCTGCTTATAAACAAATGCTTAAACAGGAGTACATTAGGCATATACTTTTCTCCCTTGGAATCAAAAGATCATAGTACTTTAGTCCCATGGGATTAAAAGATCTGGGACTAAAATACATAGTATGCTCCTCAACACATAAAGAATAATGTTATAAATATACATCCTATTATGTAAAAAATAATTCAAATATAAAGGGTGTCCCAGATAATGGAGGTTTTTTGCATTAGAACCCACTGGAAATGTGTTGGGAAGCTGGAGATTTGTAGATGAAATTTATATGTAAAATAACTGATAATTATCAAACAAATATTAACAGCATATGGCAGAAATGAGTGTCCTAATCTGACAACTACAGTCATTACCTTTTTTGAACTATGTGACTATAACCAGAAATTATTGTGGTAACTAATTCCAACATTTGAGAGTTGCAAAATGAGGAATCTCATAGTGAACAAATCAGGTAGATCTGGGACACCCATAAAAAAAAACTGTTTTCACTCTAGCTAAAGCAGATAATAGTAATCAACCTTCAAGAAAAATTGTATAAAGCTAGCTAAATATACCCACAGCCAATTCTATTATTAAATGTTTCCTAAGAAAATGGACTGCCAGTGTGGAAGATACAGAAATTGGTTCTTAAAACTCATAAAGGTTGGGACACAAACACTTCGATGATCACAGTGAAATACTTAAATATATATTTCCTTCTGTTGCTTTTAATTTATTGATTGGAGGAACGAGTGATAGAGGTTTGCAATAATTGCAAAGTTCTCTATGATGACCAATAAAAAAATACAAGAACTTAACAGACTACAAGCTTAGTTGCTGACCTAAGTGTTTGTGCACCGTCATGTAGAAATGACAATGACATTACAGTCATGTGACATCCTCAGCGTTAAGCGTAAGGCATTTTATCAAAGTGTGTACCTCCAATAGTTATCCAAAATAGGATTTTTTTCCATTCTGTGGATAATTTTTATTTTCAAATTTCAACAAGACAAATTTAGAATAGCTTATTCAGTGCGTCATTTCGTTATTCTGGAATTTCGTATCCCTCATTGTTTCCATGTTTTTAGTGGATCTATTAACATGCACATAAATACACAGTTCTATTGACCTCTTAAAAAGTTTTCTCATTATGGAGCTACGCACTTTGCCAGTTAATGTGACACCATTGAAATGTGTTATGTAATTCACAGTCTACTATGAAAAGCGAAAAAAATTAAATAAAGAAAAATGGCACATTTAGCATAGTGTGCATGGAAAAAGATTGCCCCTGCTATAAGAAAAAAAAAGCAAATAAATTAAAAACCATAATAATAGATAGTCTACTCAAATAAATATAACAATTATTTCAGTGTCTGTCTACTCCTCGATCTACTCTGTACTCTGTCACCAATATGAAAAATTATTAGGCTCTATGTAAATTTAAAAAAAAATCATTTTCTATACCTATGTTCCTAAATTATGTAGGTACATATATTTATTATAACGGTATTAGGTATTATTGGTGGTTATCAAGACTTAGAAAACAAGAAACAAATCAAAAACAATATTAGAAACTTTAAAAAATATAACAAATATACGGTCTACTCTGACCACCATAATATAAAAAATCATAAGACTATAAGTATAATATTTATGTACATTAAAAAAAAAATTGTATGCTTAACTTAAAATAAATTAAAGACACTAAGGCCCAGTTTCACAAAGTGTAGTAAACTACTAGTTATGAGATAACTACTAGTTAAAGCGAAAACAGCGTTTCACAATTATTGACGGTTCAACGTGACACCTTTAGTTAACCAGTAGTTGAATTAACCCAAGGATGCGTATGAGTTAACTATAAGTTAGCTGAAATGCTTCGTTTTTTAGGGCAGTTCAAAAGTGTCAAGTTTGAAAAGGTGAAATTATTGAATGAAAACTTTTGCATTTCTTTTTCCGTTAGTGATACAATTGGAACTAAAATCTGCTCCCACCCTTCTCCAAGCATTTTCTTTTATTTTTTACACGTCGATGCGCCGCTTTTTTTACATTCTATAATGAACTTATATTTTTGCATGAGAGACACTAACTAATAAATATTTTTCTTCCTTTGAAAAATTCGCAGACCTTTTCTCACTTGACTTCATGATTTAATTTTAAACAGGAAACACACAAAACCCAATATTGAATAGGGGTATCTGTGAAATTTTACTACCACTGACAAAAATTAATATAATTATTAATGACAAATCACAAAAAGTGACGTTATAGTGAAGTTCACAGAACGTGAAGTTTAAAGGGGCCTTTTTTTATTTTTCAAGGTGGTTTTTAAAATTTTGTCAAAAAATCAAGTACCAACCTTTGAGAAATAAAATTCAACCACTACACCTTTTCCATGTGTAATTGCGAATATAGCAGTTTATATTGCGAATTCATCAATTAATTTTGCAAATAGTCAAGTGATATTGCGACTATATCAAATGTAATTGAGAATAGTCATATGTAATTGAGAAAGCGTCAAATGTAATTGTGGAAAGTAAAGTGTAGTTGCGAATATATCATATGCAATTGGGTATAATCAATTCAAATTAGGAATACATCAAATGTAGTTGCGATTTAACCAAATATACCTAATTAAGACATTATCAAATATTTTTGTTACTTAGCCTATTGATAATATCTGACAATTAAAGTTAATTGAGATTGTTGATTTTAAAATAAACAAACTGTGCAGAGTCTGAGAAAGCAGTTTTTATTGATTTTCGGTAAACGTCTTAAAGATGAACAGAAATCAGTAGGAACAAATACATACAGATGTTGATTGAAAAATAAAAAAACTCAATTACATTTGATTTATCCCTAATTTTATTTGATTATCTCCAATTACATATGATATATTCGCAATTACACTTAACTATTCTCAATTACATTTGATATGTTCGCACTTACAGTTGACTATTCTCAATTAGATTTGATTTATTCACAAAATTATTTTACTATTCTTAAAATTAAGTGATATATTCGCAATTTTACATAGAAAAGGTGTAGTCATTTAACCAACGATTGTTTGTGTAGTGTGAAACAGGTTAATGAGCGAAGTCCCAGTTAACCTCTGACCCCTAGTTGACTGACCAGCACTGGTTACCACCGATTGTGAAACTGGGCCTAAGGAGGGTATGTACTTTTACTACCCTATGCTACTACAGAACTTGGTTGTTTGTATTTTCTAAACCCTTTTGAGCCTGAAACCAGCAAGTTTTTACTACATAATATATAAATATATATTCATTCTGGAATCTACACCATAAAAAACTACAACCTTTTCTTTCATTTGTGATAATTTATAAATTTGACTATTGGAAGAATAAATTCACAGTTCATATTCTCAAACGCATCTTAAAAATATATTCAGTGTAAATAAACCAATGGAATTTGTAAATAAAAAGATAGAAAAATTACTCTGTGTAAAATAAAAAAAAAATTCGTTTAAGTCTGTGTATAAAGTTTCAGTAGATTTTTATGGAAAAATTTGTACAATTTCTGTAATCTGGAAACAACTTCTGTCAAATATGTCCATTTGAAAAAAAATCTGTAAAAATAGATATGAACCGCAATTTGAATGATTCTGAAATCCTAATGAGAGCCTGAGGTATCAGGTTTACTACTTCTACTTGTTCCTGATGCTACTGCACCCTCTTTATCTTTATCTTCTTCCTCATCATCATCATCTTCTTCTTCTTCTTCTTCGAGCAATTTTCTAGCCAGTTGGAGGGCATAAAATTCGTTGTAATGATTTTTCCTAAGAAATTTTTTTCACTCAAACTCGTTTGTTAAATTTAAATAAATTCCTATCTTACCTCTTCAATTCAAATTCCTTACGTTTCATTTTATCCTCATCAGTTAATTCTTCATCCTCATCATCTTCATCATCCGATTCAGGTGCCAGAACTGTTGGTGGTTTGTCTGCTGCAATTTTTATCCTCCTGGCTAAATCTTCAGGATTCAGTCCATCTATTTGATCAACCATATCTACATCATAACTGTAAGGAGTTTTGGGTTCGTCAATTTTCATGTGGCCATAGTCTTTGCCTGGTGGATGGTAAGTCGCTATGATATTCATTTCGTCCCATTTTGTTTCCTTGGTTCTTCTTATAAGAAATTCAATACTAGTTTTAATTTTAAAGTTTGAGGATGGTTTAAGCATAAGTAGACATATAATTTCAAATCAGGTTCTAGTGTCATATGAGCTCCTTTGATTTTTTGCCTTTTCTGGTTTTTATTAGAAAGATTACATCTACTTATTTGAGCAAAAACACCTAGCTCAAAGCAAATTTTTGCAGACCAAAGCGAATTTAAAGATTTAGACATCAGATCTAGGACTCTGTGACGAATAGGGATATTTTCTCTATCTCTATTGGCATCCGCTCTCTATTGAATTCGAAAAAAGAGAAGAAAATAGCAAGTGCCATAGCGATGGGGATACCGATCTCTATCTGTTGCAGAGTTGGTCTGCAGGTATTTTATTATCAGCTAATGGATATCATCTCAGTGCAAGTGTAACACAAGTTATATAATATAGACGAGATATTTATTTGAAACCAAGAAAATTGGGGGAGCCTGGCAACATTGGTTTCCATTTGTATCTGCTAGATGTGCATTTTGACCCCAATTCCGGAAACAGGTAAACTGCATTTCCATTAGGATGATCACAAGGCTGAGAGCCGCTTCTCTCGGTTCAAGAATAGGAATTCAGAACTGTGTGAAGCAGGTATAAGCAGTTATAAATCAAAGGCAGTGGATAGAGGTCCGAAAATTCGGATCTTTAGTATGAACACTTTCATACTAAAGATCCGATAATTTTCGGATTTTCAATTTGTATATTAGGGGTCCGAAAATGCAGATCTTTAGTGGTAATATTGAAGATCCGAAAATAGATGTTTATTTCTAATTCTGTTGTAATTAAGGAATATTATAACATTTCAATAAAATGGATAAAATGCTTGTATTTTTAAGGATTTATACTAGAAAAAATGGATCCTATAATCCTTTTTATGTAGAATAGCTAATCAGGTTTACTCAAAAATATTTGGTTGGTGCAATTTCAAACAGAAAAGTACAAAAAACAAAACCTTTTTTATTTTTTTAAAACATTACATAATCAAAAATAAATATTTCATTATTTCAAGGGTTGATAGGGTGAGAGGTGTGATTTAGTTCCTTCTGCACTGCATGCAAAACCAGGCTTTCTTACTAGAAGGCAGCTTTGTTACTGAACAGCACACTTTATATTTACACCAAAGACATGAATCACACCGTAAGCAATCTTCATGTACCACTTTGTTACATATACATATCACAAATCCATTTTAGAATACTATTTTGTTTTTCTTCAATACGTTTTTGTAATAAAACATAAGAATCCGGACAAAAATATGTTTCTATTTCTGCTAAAGATATTTCTCCTTCAAGAAGAAGCGGATCAATTTGTTGATGATGAGGAATGTTTTATTTCTCATTTTTAAAGTTTTTATGTAATGCTTTGCTTACCAATGTATTCAAAACTGCATTAAGCATTATCTGGTGCCTCAGTTTAGGAACTTCATTTTTGAATAAAACACTTTTATTTTTCTTAGACCTTTTTAATCCAATTGCAGTTAATTGATGTCCCTTTGGGTCTTCCTTTATGGGCAAGTTTTAAAGGAAATTTAATACTTTTTATTTTTTCTTCTAATTGGTTTTGTGCAGTAGTATTTGGTTCCATTAAAATGGTGTCGCAAATATCTACAAAGCATAATATTCGAGATAAGTCGAATCTGTTTCTGCAGAAATCACAAATTAGAGCAAATTTCATTGGTTGAAAACAGTCAGAAACAGTCAGAAAACTAGTATCAACCAATGAAATTCACTCTGACTGGTTTGTGATTTCTGCAGAAACAGACTTATCTCGAATATTATTCTCTGTAGATACTTGCGACGATAATACTCCTTAATTAGACAGAATTAGAAATAAACATCTATTTTCGGATCTTCAATTTTACCACTAAAGATCCGCATTTTCGGACCCCTAATATACAAATTGAAAATCTGAAAATTATCGGATCTTTAGTATGAACACAAGAGATCCGAATTTTCGGACCTCTATCCACTGCCTAAATCAAAACCTCTAAAGTAAGTAATGTGCGTATCTACCTTAAGTAAATACACTCATATGGGGGTGAATTTCTGCATTGAAATGATTGATAAATAAGCAAATTCATGAAACGCCTTTATCAAATTTTTGCATAAAAAGGTATTATCCGAATTTTTTCCTTTTAATCTAGGGAACTTGACAAAAAATTTAAACATGAAAATATTACTATAAATCATAAGAATACATTAATTAAAACCTATATCAGCGAAAAAAACAATTTTTTTTGTCGCAAACGGCCACAATAAGGAATTAAAAATGCGGAAAAATTCAAATTATTTCCAGCCGGAAAAAACGCTCTCCTACTGGTCGTGACGTCATCTAGTATGATCTGTCAGTGTCTGTCAGCAACCGTCCATCATACCGTGAGTTCGTCTTGAAACACTGAGCGCTCGGAGCATTTCTTATGATGAGAAGAATAGGGATAAAAGAACAAAACAGCAACTCCGAGCGTTTACTCAAACTCTACATAATAAATACCCGTTAGCTGTGTTTATTTACGTTTTTCTCTGATTTTTAAAATTTTTTCATTATTAGAATTGACGTTTTCAATTAAAAGAGATGGACAATAAAGTATGAAAACAATCATTTTCCCGCCAACATTTGCTTGCTTGTCAATGTCAGTGTGTATTGGGTGTTTTGAAAGAAAATGTGGGAAAAGTCACTATTTCATTTGCAGAACTTCGCTATGGAGAAAGCGGTGGATTATTTTGGAAGCAAACAGCTCCCGCAAACTAAACTTGAACGTGGATTACTTTGTATACTTGATAGGCCGTGGATTTCCTTTTTTTTTGCGAGTATTCTTTCTGATTTTATGTATCCAAAATTTGACAAATGTAGGATTTGATGGAAACTTATGGAAAGACACGTCCGCTGGTAAATAGGAATTATTTTTACAAAAAGGCACACTACACAATCACCATTGTTAGGAAAAAACTTTGGAAAAACCGAGGAAATAATAGTTTCCAGTTTCCACGTGTACAAAATTCTTGTCAACAAACCACTGTCAGCGGCTGTCAACCGTTGTTTTCATACTCTTTTGGCGTCTGACAGTTTGACGCCAGAGAGAGAGGCTTTTAAATTGAAAAGGTCAATTGGTTTACTTAGCTTAAATTCAATGATTAGCTTAGCATTATATAAATAAAACGATATACCTATTAATTATGACCGAAGAAGGAAATTCCAAAGGCCAAACCGCCAATCTGTAATTTGTGATATGTTTATAGTATCAAAAGTAAGTATGTGCGAATCTTTTTTTCCATTATAACTTAAAAATTTACAACTCGCCGCAACCCAAAACAACAACAAAACAAATAACGGTGGAAAATGTGGAAATCAACCAAATTAAATACAATGAAGTATGACGTTTGACGACAAGGTGAAGCCAGCGCCACACGATTTGTCGAATGCCTTCCAACGTTGGACACATAGCGATTTGTGGCATCGTGTAGCCGTGCGCTCATCAGATACATTAGCCGAATGCTAGAGCAAAAAACGCTGTACCCAACGTTGGATCTAACGTTGGGGCAAATGGTTGGACACATCGTGTGGGGCCGGCTTAACGCAAAATCATGCTACGTGACGTCATCCAGATTCGCGCGCATTTAAGTACGTTTGAAATGCTTTTAATTCGCGCGAAACTTTAAACATTTTTCACCAAGTTATTATTGAGTTTTAGGGAATTATATTTGGAGAATACTCTTTCAAGGCATAAATAAATGATTTAAAAAAATTAAAAAAAAATTGTAAAGTTCCCTATTATGTGTATCCTTTGGGTAATGAACAGTTTACAATATAAACCACACAATTAAATCAATACTTTAATTAGCATAGCACTCGGCATAGCATAATAACATAATTATATTTTTGGAGGGCAAAATATAGGTCAAAAATAAGGTCACAAAAATACCCTATAGAATCGTCCTCCTACCCAAATTATTATTTAAATTAAATGATTACCTAATAGATGTTTAGCTAATTAGCATATTTACTGTAGGAGTCATTGTTAGAAAAGCTGAAAAAGCAAAAAAAATGAGTCACAAGCAGATAATAAAATATTTCCAAACAATTTTGACCAAAACAATCATCATTGCCATTGATGAATGAAGTTTTTTCTTAATTTGAAAACTTACTTTGCAGAGGGTTGATGTTCTTGTTTATCGAAACTACTGGAATTTTTTAGAATGCCCTTTGCAGGCCTTTTATTTAAATTTTCTGACATTTTATTATTTTTTGGCAATTGTCAATAAAGGCAACTGCAAAATTATTGCAGTATTTACAAGTCGCGAATTTGTCATTCGTCAAAACATAAGTTTCTCGTGACAGGCGATGTTTGTTGTGACAGTTGACAGTCCACCAAAGGTGCTTTCAAAGGTGCTTTCCAGTGACCCACTTGAGCTACTCCCTGATCAGCTCAGGAGTGCTACACGCTCAGCTCCACGATTACTTCGCGCGTTCCAGTGCTTAGAGTGTCATACAATTGAACTACTCATTTCTGTTATCCCTGCCTGCCCCTTCATGCACCAACCTTTATTTCGGTGTTTCATGCTCCTAAAGTCCGGAATGTTGGGGAGAAATTCGCTCTGACGGGTTTGTGATTTCTGCAGAAACAGACTTTTTTTGTAAAGCCTAGTACTCATAACTGCGAAATTCGCATTTTTTTTGACATTGCGTTGACAATTTGACGTTTTATGCGTGTATCAAACGTCAAATTGTCGAAGCAATGTCAAAAAAATGCGAATTTCGCAGTTATGAGTACTAGGCTTAAGAACGAGATTATTCCCATCACAAACAGAAACATGTGTTTTTGCGGATATTTTGGGGAGCGGAGCCATTTTTTCTACCAGGGGCCCCAGGAGCCAGCCAAGCCCTAAGCAAAAAATATCTTCTTAGAACTCTTTAGGTTAGGATAGTGAATTATCGAAAGCTTAAATTTTACCGCCTTTCGTAAATATAAGAAGTGCGCATGCCCGCTCCTCGAGCTTCATCTTTCGAGGTGGTGCTTGTGGAGTTAACTCTTTTCACTCTACTTGGCTGTACCCGAACGATAAGGAGCTTGCACTATTTGCTTCCAGTGGCGTGACCCGAACGGTTTTGCAGTGAAAAGGGTCAAAGGAGTCAAAAGAGTTGCCAAGCCGAACTCACCTTGTATAACTATTTTCGGGTTCAAAAAAAGCACGGTTCTAGAATGGTTCAAAACAATCGCACAGTTTAATATTGAAATTTGTGATAGCTGAGGCTGGTTGAGGCTGAGCCGTTGTCATGTATAACTAAGCAATCCTGTAGTAGCCTAGCTGAGTTCAGAAATGTGCGCTTTCCAATGCTTTGTTTGAGTGGTAAATTTATCACGATACGACCAAACAGCAAACCCCCCTTATTATGTAATCTTGAAACCGGTAAAATACCGGTAAAACTACGATTCTTGGGTAAGAAACCTCAATGGTAAGAACCGATTAATTTATATCGATTCCGGTTCTGCGTGCCTTACAAAATTTCTATGAAATGTGGGTTTTGTTCCGGTTCCGGTCCGCAAATGAAAAAACGGTTGCGTTCCAGTTTTTGGTTCAATATCGTTCCGGTCCGGGCACCTGATCCTGACGGTGAAATGTTCGATTCCATGCAGGGTTGTAACCTATAGTTGAGGCATCCCAGAGTTGTTTTCGGGTGCCACCCACCTTTTCAGAGATATTTTGAGCGCTCCCGAGTTACTCCGAAGTACTCCGGCTACAGTATGACCCGTTCGGTTTTAAGCGTTCGAATGCAAAACGCATGGAGTATGACAGGTGTGAAGTGTTCTAGGAGCTTCGCATTCTGCACCCGAAAGCGGCTTTGATGATGTTATAAAAGCAACTTACCCCCTTTCAAACAACCTTTAGCCCTTTTCACGTGGCTCCGATTTAACAAATCGCAACATACCACTCAAATTCGAATGGTATCAAAGATGTCATTTTGTAACCGGGCTAGAAAACAGTATGTCATTTCTCTAACCGCCTCGGCTATATGAGGTGCGTACGATAAGTCCAACTACTGACACTTTTTACCCTGACCCGTCAATAATGTCGCACTTTTTACACCATTCGTACCGTTTAGCATTCCATTTTCCCGGTGTAGTTTAGATGGTTGCGTTCCAAAACATAACTGCACCACACTAACGCTAACCGGTTCAGACAAATCGTACGTATATAAGATCACGCTCGGGTGACACCTGACATTCAATCTGAAACCGCCCCACGATCTCAATTTGACAACCGGTACCGCATGACTTTGACAGTTTAGTTGACAATAACCTAACCTAATTTTTTTTTATTATTGTTATGATTATTTTATGATGATTTCTTCAACTGCTGGAATGTGGATTTGCAGAGTATTTTAAGCTTTAATTATTTATTCGATTTGAAGATAATTTCTATTGAAAACAAAGTTCATTATCGCCTAAACTTCTGGAACTATGGGTAAATTTATCGACCCGAACCTCACCGCAGGTCCCAAGAAGGTAATCAAACGGAAGCTCGCAACGAAATCTGCATCAACATCGGCCCCAAGAGCCAAAAAACCTCGCAAGGACAAATTCGCCGGTGTCGAAGATGCTACAATCACAGACGAACCTGTCCAGGTCAAAGACAATATTGAACCTGTGGAGGCAGAATTTCAAGATTTGGAATTTGAGGTGGTTCAAAGCTCAAGTTCTGGAAACGAGTACTTGAAACTGGTTCGGCCCGTTGGGGATTTGTTTGCTGATGATGATCTAAAAGCCAGGTAAGGATTTCTCTGAAAAAAAATCATTTAGGTAGAGAAGGTGGTTTTATTGGAAAAACACATTTAGTAAAAGATTTTTTAAGTAGATTACTATACTTATTTATTTCCACTAATATGTGTTAAACTTTAACATGTTTCGCTACACTGTAGCTTCATCAGAAAGAAAAAAAAAAATCCCAAAAATCATGTTTTGTTTCTGGTGCACCTACCTCAAAACTAGATATTTTACAGTTGTGGAAACAAGATATTATTATAGTTGTAGGACTTTGAAATAAGAAAAAGTGAGGATGAACCGAGGGGTGAACACTAGAAAAAATTCTTTTAAAAAAAAAACCAACTCAAAAGTTGGAAATTTTAATATCTCTTTGTACAAGTATGCCTAATTTGGCCTAATTTTATGAGATAATTGTATATGTTTATTGGGTGGTATGAATAAAAACGAAGTACGTGCTACTACTAAATACAAGTATTAGCATGTTCTACGTAGTATTAACTCTAAAACGAAGTAGATACTACATTTCGACACTGCCGGAAATTAGTAAATGCTTCTTTGTGAAGTAAATACTGCGAAGAATATACTAATACTTGTAGTAGTAGCATGTACTTCGTTTTTATTCATACCACCCATTATAAAATCTTGAGCAGTTTCTGATGTAAAACAATTTAAGGTTGCCACAATTGAATACTTAACTATATGACCGAGTATATGACTATATCATTTAGGTGCCATATCACTTTATTGCCACACTCATTGAGGCTTGATAGACACATAATTCAAATGGACCTCGGTTCGATTCTCGTTGGAGACAATACATATTTTTGGTAATTGTTTAGTGAAGATTTTTCACAAAAATATCATGTATTTTCTTTATAGACAGTTAAGTTTTATTTCAAAATAGTTTACGGGGATTAGCATGCAGTACAAAGACGGGTTAGTTTGCATGTTTTTGATCAGTTTCAATACAGCACAGTAGTTACTGTCAGTTAGAGTGTACAAATTTCAATAGTTCAATAGGTATATATCCTCTTCCTATTCACAATCCGTAGTCCAAAGGTAAAGGTAAATTTATCACCTTTCCCTATCAAATAACACTGAAAGGTGATAAATTTTACCTTTACTTGTGGACATCGGATTGTGAATAGATTATACACTTTATCATTGCTCAATAATGTTTTTTTCGAAAAATCATTTGAACACTTAGCAGTTCGAATATCTACCACATGATACTTTTCATGTTTATTGAATTTTTATCTGCTAACCAGAGCGATTGTGATATTAGGCTGATAAGAATAGATATTATACCTATATTGATCTGTGTCAAAGGTCGAGAAGAGGATTCACTCAATATTTATAAAATCCCGAGTAAAATCCAATTTATACCTAGTTATTTGCGCCAACATTTTTGGTCACAAGTCCAATGGAGATTACTGATACTCATTGAAAAACTTGCCTGGACGCATTTTTAGTTGAAAACTTGGTTGAAAAGTGCATAAGTGCCTTTTTTATTTAGTGCCAATTTGTCAAAAATCATTGATATGTTTTCGATGCACGAGTTGTATTTTATGAGAGAATTTCAGGAATCAAAAAAACACCCATTACTGTGCAATTATCTTATAATCGTGCACTAGTGCATGGATCATGGAGTGCATAGGACTGGTAAGGTAGGCCGGTAGATATCTTTCTTCAACACGTACGTGGACCATATAAGGCGATTTTGTTAACAAGGAAAACACAATCCACCCTGTTATTGAAGAAGGTTATAAGTATAAGAATTTGGCTGCAAGAACCTTCCTTCTAATCGCCACGGGCAGATCATCGTGTCACCATAAAAGCAAATTACGGTCAAGACATGCTGTCTGTATTAGTCGGTATGACATGTCTTGTCTGAACAGACTCAATACTGGATACATGGCCGTTATATATAGAATTCATATCAAATTAAATATATACTTATTGTCCAAAGAATACATAATAATCCTCATTGACTGGATTAAGAAACATACTCCAACTTGGAACGAATAAAAGTGTAGAAGTTTTAAAGTAGATTGCTGAGTGAAATGTTTACTGTTTCAGTTAATGAAACATTTGAAATAAGAATACAAAAATTCTCAACCTGTGGAATAAATGTAAGCTGATAATCAAAAATTACACCAAGATCACGAGTCTGCGTAAGTCAGACCAGGGAAGTATTGCCAATTGAATAATCAAAAAAGACTGGAGTTCTCAAATTTTCAGTCTGTAAAAGTTCGCAGTATTGCATTTGTGAGTGCCCTTGCCAATATTAACGTGTAGGTTAAGGTATAATCTGTTGCAAGTGCCAAGAAGATTTATACTGTCTTGCAAAGTTATACAATTCTTAACAGAGGCTATTGGTAAAAAAAGCTTCAGATCAGCAGTATATGCCAGCTGGTTACATGTAATTGCACCATTAAGGTGATCAATGAATAGGTATATAAAAAAGTGGACAACCCGGGTTGATCCTTGAGATACACCAGAAGTAGTGACAAACATTGGCACCTCAGGCCCAGCATGCTGAGAACTGCCTCACAAATACAACCCAAGCAGGCCGCCAACAAGCCATACTACTCCAATTTGTATAACAACAAATAATGATCGATTCGGTCGAAAGTCTTCTTGGAAATCTGTGCGACCTATTCCCTTTCCATCCGGCAATCAGGCTTGTCACACACGACCTACTGTCCACCAAGCCATGCTGATCATTCGAAAGCAAGCCCCTGAAAATGGATACTGCATATTGTGAACAATAATTTCAGCGAGCTTGGAAAAGTTACAAAGAAGTGATACAGGCCTATAATTATTGACTATAGAAAAATCGCCACTTTTGTGCACAGGAATAATTTTAGCAACTTTCCATGTCAGCGGGAAAGTACTGGTAGACAGAATTAAATTAAATAGATGATGGAGAGGGTCAGCCAGAATACATGCACAGTCCTTTATGATAAGACTTAAAATAGATTCAGTTTTCGACATGTTTATTTTTAAGTTATTTGCTCACGGTGATAATGTCCGCAGCCTATGTGACACATATTAAAGGTCTTCGCATACTGGATTTTGTATAGTTACATTTGTCTTAGTGTAAACCGAGGTGTAAACAGTTTGGAAAAACTTGCCGAAAGCCTCTACGAAATATTGGGCTGTAGAGTATTGACCATCCGAATTTCTAAAAATACCAGGAATCCTAGACCTGCCCCGCTTGTCCCGCACAAAGGACCAAACATTATTTCTGTGTATGGATCTGCAATTTCACCTTTCGTCCCAGGTTGATGTACCTGTGTCCATACAGGTTAAACTCTCCTAAATCTAATGTAACTCTTCCTAGCACACTCCTTCTGTACAATATCGGCTATCATTTCTTTGGTGTAGTAGGTGGGGAATCGAATACTTTGGTGTAGTAGGTGAGCATCATATATATTCAGTAGAAACTTGAATAATGCTTTCTAAATTAGTCTGATATTAGGCAATGTCTTGATATTAGGTGGTGGACTGTTGTAGAATTGTATGCAATAACATGTATACCAACGTCACTTTCATACATAGACAGTAGTCTGAGTCTAGGACAATGTACCTAATTGTGAGTTTTTGTGGAGTACCTATAGACTTTGAGGCTTATTTAGCCTAATATTTTGATTAATACAAAACACTCTTCAACATAGATGGAATGGAATAATGAAATCTTCATGTTCTCTCTAGTGTGATTCTCTTAGTTCAAGTTTTAATAAGTGTTTTTTTATCAGCTTTTTTTGACTCACAGATATCTTACTTACCAGCCTATATCTTATGTATAAAGTCTGTCGATTTTTATCTGATACTCAAAAGGAATGTGAGCTGGTGGCACCATACATTAGAACGCCAATGTCACCTGACGTCACACCTGTTTTTGCCATATATTTCACTCCCTCGCTCCTCATACGAAAAATGTCAGATAAAAATCGACGAACAATATGTGCCCGAATTTAGCCTGATCCTCGCCTTGATCTCAAGCCAAAAATCAAGGATGCATGCTATCCACACCAAAACAAGTTTTACTTTAATGGTTAACTGAAGACAAATGTTAGCTCATCTTTAGGACAAAAATCAAGCAAAATTCTGGATTCTCGCAATCCTCTTCAATTTTTAAGCTTTGGGATCAAACAATTCTACATCTCATCATCAGGCCTACGCCTCTTGTAAGCCTGATGATGGGATAAAGAATTTGATCCCTAAACTAGTTGCTTAAAAATTGAAAAAGATTGTGAGAATACTTTTACCTCATTTTTGTCATAAATTTTTACTTTTTTGAAATTATTAATTACATATACCTACTACAATACTAATACTCCCTTAAGTTGGTTTCAAAATCGGTAAAGGGTTGATAATGTAAAAACAACTCAACAAAAATGAGGTTTTTATTTTTAGTGTTTTAGAACAGTTCCCTTTGATTTATTTCTAAATCAGAAGGGGATGGTAATAAGGTTCCATCTCGGCTTTTATCCTCTTTTTCCATATTTCTGATAGGGTACAGGGTGATCTATTATAAATGTCACCTCCTTCTAAGTTTTTCATTTGACATTTTTGACAAAAGTGTCAAATACAAAAGTTTCAAGATACCCCTCGTTTTTATTCTCATCGGTGACTTCACCGATGAGTTAGCTATCTTTGTTTAGTGAATGGAAAATGACAATGACCGACATAGAATGGTGGATCCATCGGTAAAATTTGATGAGAATAAAAACGCAGGGATATTGTGAAAGTTTTTAACTAAGTCAGTTTTAGGCATACAGGATGCGTCAAAAAAGTGCAGCAGTGTGAAGTTATATTTTTTTAAATGGAACACCCTGTATATTGTGCACTTACTTGTTAGTCCCTTTTAACCTGATTTCAACGATATACAGTTTGGTATGCCTATCTTCAATAGTTATAGGAAAAAACATGAAAACCCCTTTCAAGTTTTCATATTGAAAATAGAAAAATTATACCATTTAAGCTTTAGAGATTTTTTTTTTATAAACAGTTTATTATTCAAATTGTATTCATCAATATACAAGGTGAAATATTATACTAAATCCAGATGTCTAAGTTATTATAAGGTCTGTTTCTGCAGAAATCACAAACCAGTCAGAGTGGATTTTATTGGTTGAAACTAGTTTTCTGACTGTTTTCAACCAATGAAATTCGCTCTGACTGGTTTGTGATTTCTGCAGAAACAGACCTATTATTATTTTTAATCAAATAACATGAGAGACCTAGGAAGGGATTTCCGCGTTTTTCCCTATAATTATTGGAGATAAACCAAAAGATAAACATATCAAATCGTATATCGTTGAAATCAGGTTAAAGGGGACTAACAAATAAGCGCACAACATACAGGGTGTTCCATTTGGAAAAATATAACTTCACACCGCTGCACTTTTTTAACGCACCCTGTATGCCTAAAACTGACTTCGTTAAAAACTTTTGACATACCCTGCGTTTTTATTCTCATCAAATTTTACCGATGGATCCACCATTCTATGGCCGTCATTGTCATTTTTCATTCACTAAACAAAGATAGCTCATTCATCGGTGAAGTCACCGATGAGAATAAAAACGCGACTATCTTCTTAAAACTTTTGTATTTGACACTTCTGTCAAATGAAAAAGTTAGCAGGGGGTGACATTTATAATCACCCTGTACAACTACCATATTTTAGCAGGGACTTAACGAAGTGTTCCTAAATTTTTCCTTAAATTGGTTTCAAAATGGGTAGAGGATAAAGGGTTGAAAAAATAGAAAAAAACTAAACAAAAGTAAGGTCATCATCTCTTTTCTTTAGATTTTGGATAGGGTATCACTATTATCTAAATACTTCCTGCTTCTCTGATAAACCAATATACATTCGGAAACATTCAAAGCACCTTATTATTACTTGCAGTATTCTAAACTGTACGGAGAAGCTGCTGATTCTCCGCATAAACATAAGTAGGAAGATACAACCGTACATTCCGGAACGGGAAACCATTTCAAATGTTTCCTACATGCATTAAAAAAAAAAGAGAGGAATTCAGCAGGAATTAATGCCAGAAAATCTATTGTTAAACGAAAGCCTACGTTTACGCACCAGAGCAATAAAGAGAAAGATTGTTGCAAGAGCAATTTTAAACGAATTCTTTGTACAAGTAGGATATTTTGGTTTTGTGGCACCCGCTTAAACTTGAATAAAGTAAAACTGCACAAAAAATTCAAATATGAAGAGTTAAAATATAACCGGCAAGGATGGAGAGCGGATTTCTTTTGGAAGAGTTTAGATCTGAGTACAGTAAGACTGTAACAGATACAATATTCAACTAGCAGAATTGGCAGGGATGCATAGAGAAACCATTGTATTAGTTTTGGATCTGGTTCCCTATTATTTTGTTTCATTACAGTTTCAATTATTTTTTAGATATGACCAACATAGCAGACTCGACCTCATATTCACCATATTTGATGAAATAGCCCTTGAAGGCCTAGATGGAATTACCATACAAGCGTTCTGGCAAAGAATACAAAAAACACTTAAATGCATTAACTTGCCGTCCAATTTAAAGGAATTAATGTGGCAAGTGATATGTTTGAATAAAGGAGTTCAATTTTTTGAGCTTCCTGAAGCTAGAGATGATTTAATTGTTCCTAGTATGGATAGAGATGTCAATGATGTAAACTTTATGCAACCTATCCATTTTGGAGGAGATATTTATAAGGTACAAATTTTAGAAATTATGTATGTTCCAAGAATAATTCAAACTTTGCTCTTAGAAAATCTCATTTTTCAGTTTGCACTGCAAAAATCTGAAACCTCAGAAAGCAGACATATTTATTATTGATGATTTATTTGTAGGTTGAACCAGCTCCAAAAAACTCTGGGCTTTTAGGTTCATGCGCTACTCTAAGTACTAGAGTAGATATAAGTGATGTGGTGAGAAAGATGTCTTTAGAAAATGCTATTTCTGAATATGGTAACAAATTAGTGCTGGTTGCTGATTCGGATTTAAGAAAAAATGCCATAGTTGATAAGCTTGCAGATCCTAATTATGAAGTTATTGATGTTGAATACTGCGTATTGGAGAGAATTGGTAGGGCAAGACATTTTGGTGAGGTTACTCTAGGATCTGCTTCACTGGCCCAAGGTAATTATCATTTAGGTTTGAAATTGCTTTTACTAATTTTGTTGATTTTTAGCATTGAATATGGACACGCGAAGTCTGCATCATTATTCAAAAAATCTGAAAAAAGAAAATTTTATTATGGGGCAATTTTGCATGGTTGCCAATATTGAGCATACTAAGACCGGAAGACTATTTCATCTAAGGTAACAACTTTCTAATTTTTATGTTGAAATTAATGTTTAATTTGTTTCAGGAGGTTCTATCATAAAAGGAAAACCAAGTACTTGATTATGATGGAAAATGTTTTTCAGTACATGAAAAAATGTCCCGGATATAGAGCCCAGTATAAAGATGTTAGAAGTTTATTTAATTCTAACGTTCAAAAGTTTTTTAAGCATCAAGAATTTAATAAATATATTGACACTAGTATTGTAAGTAATGTTTCCTTCGAATATTAACATTGTTTAAATTAATTTTTTGTAGTACGTACCATATAAGGAATACTATCCAGGATCCACATATAAAGAGTACATGACGAAAGGTTTCAGCAAAGAACGAGTGGTTCAATTAATGCAACTGAAAGATCCTTATGTAAATATTGTTGCTTGTTGGGGTGACATCGAAAATCAAAATAATCCAGATTCTTCTGATGATGAAGACGATGATGGCGATGACGCAAAAGAGGGCAGACGTATTTTCAATAAAGACTTTATAAGGGATGTGTATCAATTTATTTTATCGAAAGGACTTGAAGGTGCTAAAACAACAGAAATAAATAAATACTTTGATACCGATAGACCAGGAATGAGAATTATTTTGAAAAAACTTGTTAAAAGGCAGTTAATAGTATCAAGGAAAAAGGATATTGGAAAGCAAACAGTTTATCAGTAAGTTAGTAATTCTTTGTATATGTATATTTTTGGTAATTAAAATAATTTTTTCCAGGTATGTGGCTTGCTGTTTGACAGGTGAAGCTGGTCTGCCTTCGCGAGAATCTAGAATAGTACAAACAGGGACAAGTAGTGCCCTAGAAAAATTAAAAGAGAGACAGAAACAGAAAATTAAATCAATTGCCAGTGATAGGTAAGCTTGAAAGAATTTTTTTATTAGGGATGTTCTTCCTGTGTGGTTGGGGATGTGTGCTTTATTTATTTATTTATTCAATTATTCACAATTTATATTACTTGAATAATTTTAGCCAAAATTTTGACTTGGTGTTTTATTTAATTTTGAGACACATAACATAGGCCTAACTCCCCATGCCACTTCCCTCCTCAGTATTCAGAATATCATTTTATTGTTGTTTTTAGGGTTTATACTGCCGAACAATTTGCATCAGACAGGGAAAATCAACTTTTATCTCTAGATTTGACTCCCTCCTCCTTTATTACTCCTCAAATACCTGAAATAATGTGTCAATATTTCATTGCACAGCATCTCGCCTTGCCAGTGATAAAAGAAGCCAATACAGTGTTACTCAAGTTCTGTGAAAACTCAAAACCTTTCAAAATAAATCTAAATTTGCCACCAGTTTCTCAAAACTATTCATTGAATTTTGAAAATTACTTCACTAATAATCAAAAAGATAAAATATTGGATTATACATCAGAAATAGTTTTGGATAAATTCAAAGCTGACAAATTTTCGAAAGTCTGTTTGCTGCGGGCTTTAATAGACAATTTAAAAATTAATAGTAAAGATGTAATAGAATTTTTGGATCCAAAGAAATCCAAAGTAGCTGAAAAAAGGCCTTTAGAAAAGGAAAGTAAAAGTAATGATCGGGAGCTTGGATCAGAGTTGGGAGTTTATATGGGTTGGAATCCTGTATTAGTTTTGACAGAAAAAGATGATGAAATGGGTTTCCTTATGGAGATCTATATGTCGGTCCCTCTTATTGGTGATTATATGACAGGTGATTGTTTGCTTTTCTATTGCTTGAAAAATTTTATGCAAATATTTTTTCTCAGGTGACATAACAAACTATTCATCCAGTGCCATTGAAGATAGTAGTGACAGAGTTTTATCCAGAATTAAAATTATTTTAAAAACAATACAACAATTTGAAATTTTTGAAGAACTATTTAAATTATTGAGAATAATCTATCAAGAAGAATCCCGTGATGGTAACGATAGAAAAATGGATAGAAGATCACTACACAGATTACTGAAAAGACTAGCAGACGAAGGTTATGTAAAAATATTTCAAGTCATACTCGCTGGTGAAGATTTGAAAAAGACACAAGTTTATGTTTGTCATCCAGATGTTACTATAGAACATGCAATTTTGCAAGCTAGTGTCAAACAACTGAAAGAAAAGGTGTTTTGTTACATTAAGAAATCGGATGAAGTTGTTTATCAGAAACCTGTTCCTGCCAAGAAACCACAAAAGTAAAAATAGTTTCATATAATAATTTATTAGGGCCGGTACTTGAATTGAATATGCCATTAAATTATTAAGGGCTTTGAATAGGCCAAATGATGTAGTTAGAATATTTAATGCCCAGATTAATATGACAAAGTATCAAGTTTGTTAACTGAGCCCTCAATTTATTGTTCAGTGTATTGTGTTGTTTTAATTGATTATCAATTCCAGATCGCCATTTATTGAACACGACGTCCTCGCAAGTATAAACGAAATTAAATCTCTGACAGTGAGTAACCTTAAAGTGCAATGTTCAAAAACCGCTGCAAAATATTACGGCAAACGCCCGAAATTTGCCAAAATATCACTTATTCACGAACTACTTTTTTATCTTATTTACGAACTGAATAGAAATACTAAACCTTTACCCAAAGAGGAAGTTGCAGCATTGTTTCGAAGCCATCAGGTAACCAAAATAGATATTTAAATTAATAATTTTAATAATATTCAATATTCTAGATCAGATTAACTGAGGCGGAATTGGAAAACCTCCCACCAGTTTACTGTAAAGAAATATCTTGGAAAACTTTTATACCTCCATTACCTGACCATTTAGGCTGGGATGAAGGATGGGCCCTGTTATGTGACGTACTTTTACGTTTCCCTATAAGTCTGATCACCCGTTGTCATGCTGTTAACTTTATTTCTTCTGAGCTTCAAGAAACTTTACATCATCCAATAAAAAGGTAATGGATTTTCTCCAACTATATGTATATTTAAGGCTAATCTTATAACTATTTAGGTACTATTTAATCCGAAACGTGTCCCCAAACATCCGAATGATCATAATGTATAGAAGAAAATTCATCCATGATATGCACAGCAATTTGGCTCTCTTGTGCTATTGCGGTTTACTTCAATTTGGCCCTTCAGTGTTTCACGACAAAGAAAAATCATTTTTCTATTTAAATCGCAAAGCAACTATATGGGATACCAGGTCCTCTACTCCTGGCTATTATGAAATTGAGAAAAAAGATTATCCGAAGACTTTATTTTATTTCCATGCCTTGGATGATGTTTTCAAGTATTGGTCCACATTGGTCAATGTTTGTAAGTGAATTTTCTAGATTTTTGAGAAGCACTACATTATAGTCAAAAATTTCAAGGTTTACATACGACTTTAAGTTCAACAAAGCAGATAGAGGGAAAAACTATTACTTTGATCAATTCTTGTGCAAAACCTGGTTTAAATAAAGCTCGTGCTTGTAGAAATCAGAACAAGGTTAAACAGTAAGTTTTTAATTCATATACTTGGTGTTACAACTTTCTAGGATAGATAAATTACTTATTAACATTAAGAGGAAATGTTATTCTACTTAGATATAATTCTTTATATCTGCATTGGTAATTTTTTGGAGAAATATCCTTCACCTGCCTAGTATAATAACTGTGAACTTATCCATATAACAATCTCTAGCAATTCTGCAGCAAAAAAGACTGTGGTGCCATCAGCAAAAAATTTGAAGAATTATCTACCACTGATTCTTAAGAAACTTCAATCTTAATCATATTCTCGATAGAAACATGCATCAATTTAATAAATACCCTAGAAATTTGTAACACACCTAGGTATACATTCTGTTTAGTTTTGGGTAATGTAAGAAAATTGGTTTTCAGAAACGATACAGGTCAAATTCCAGGCGATAATTTAGGGGCCGGAGGCTTAGATTCCTCATTGTGGGCCCATAAGCAACGCAGTTGGTACTTTTTTGCACGCAACAAAAATACCATGACAGAAACTTTGGAATCGTTGAAATTAGATAAAGTATAGTATGCAAGTCTTTAAAAAATCATCTCAATACTGTTTTTCGTTTTCAGATAGCCAATACCACAGTAGCTTTTGATATGCTCAAAGTGCCAAAAATCTCAAACAAATACTTTTTGCCAACGAAAAAGGCCATAAGAAAATTGAAACAAGTCAAAAGAATTGGAAATCCTATAATTAAACGCACAATTGTACCACGCAAACGAAAACCTCTAAGCGAAAAGAGAACTGGTATGGATTCTGTGGATAGGGCCACCTTGAGAAGGCTCAACTGTCTTAGGTATAGACCGAAATGGACCGAGGAAGAGGATAGATTGTTGATTTTATTAAAGGTAATTTTTTTTTTGTAGTTAATAAGATCCTTGTGAAGAAATTTTTATAATTCATATGCATATGATTGAAGAATATCGAAATGTGGAAGAGTTTAAAGGAGTTGAAGTTTGATATGATTACCTACTGGGTCAATACTCAATATTAATTTAAAATGTAACTTATTTCTTCCAGAACATGACGCTCAAATATAGGTTTTCCAATAGGTCTTTTTTGCAGTTGACTCACAATACTTGTGAAACGGGTACTTAAACTTGTACCTACTATACTTTCCTGCTTTACACTTACTTCACTATAGAGCCATCATCCAGCTTATAGAAAAGCTTAACATTTTGGCGCGTCCTCCCGACGTTTTCCAGTTGCTGTAACTAATAACTACTCACCTTAATACTAGTCTGATCCATTTTTAAAGAATTGGTTCTGAGGAGGAATACTTATAGTCAAATATTCTATGCAAGTTTGACCAAAAATATGCAAAGAGGCTTCGCTTTCTAGAATAGGGTCCCAAATTGTTGCATTTCTCCTTGTTCTGAAAATTGGCTACCTGATAACTCTGTGATTATTCTCAGCTAAAATCTCATTTAATACATCACATGATTAGGTTGATTCATAACATTTCAGATGCTACTCTGGATGTGTTGCATGAATTTCATCAATTGGTGGAACATTTTGTTTTCCCTTCTTGAATTTTGATTGTGCATGAATAAATTTAGTACTTTGTATAAATTATCAAAACATTTGGCTTGTCTAATTAAGGTTTTAATTTGTTTCAGATTGCCTCTCAAATTATAACTCCTGATAATCCCAAACAAATTATTGGTTATTCAGTTTTCAGGGACATTTTGCATATTCTATCACCTGAATATCAAAATAAGACTTCCAGGTAATGTTTGTGTGCCAACTTTCTGAACTTTTCAGATTTATTTTATACCTTATTATTTTTCAGATCTATTGCTAATCGCCTAAGACTCCTTCGAAGAGACGTACCATTTTTCGTAAACGCTGAAAACCTTATACCCAATCTTTTTAAGCTTACTCCAATGGCGAAATATTTTGTACCTTTCAGGAAATTCATATTGAATAACCAAAACACATTAGGTAAATATACAAATTGACACCTTTGACATAAAGATGCAATCAGCCCCTAAGCTGCTAGAGAGTAACTACTTCTTACATTGTTTCTAATAGAATGTGTTCTAACAATAAAAAAATAAATCTAGATTGCACATCCAAATAAAGATATGAAGAATGTTTGGTTTTATAGTAAACGTATATTTAATGATTATTAAACATAAAATTTTAGCTTTTCAGCGTAAATACAAACTATCTGAAATCGAACTTCAAAACGCCTTCGTATTTCTCGCCTATTATTTTGTAACTCACAGAAAGGAAGTTGAAGTTGCGCTACACGGCAGGAACATCAGCATAGATTATTTTAATAAGGAAAATTTCGATTACTACAAGGAAAATATTGAGCCTTTCAATACGAAATTGCGACTTTATTTGACGCCTGAAAATGAAGCTGATATTAGACAGTGTACACTGACAAGTACTGTACATGCTGCTTTGACTCATAAGAAAGATAATGCTGGTAAGAATTTGGTCTTTTTGAAAAAATTTAAATTTGATGTTCATCTATAGACTTTTTTTTCGTGCAATTAGTGCATTTTCTTTCACAAAAGGTTTCCTCGATCCTTGATGAATTCAACAATTAGTTTTAATTTGAAAACTAGAAGTAATTACACGAATTTGTGTTCTTGCTGACAAAATATTTTTCTTAAACATCCTTGCATAATTTGTAAGGATATTCAAGAAAAAAATAAATCATCAATTGCCCTACATACTTGATATTTTTCCGTTCTAGTATGGTCCTTACAAGTCTATAAAATCTACCAACAATTCAGTGAAGAAGTCCTCAGAAAATCTCTTCTAGTTATGCGCAATAGCCGCATGATTAACTCAACGAAAGAACACGGCAAAACATTTTTCAGCCCCTACAGGCTATCACCCCAATATGTTTTCTCTCAAAGTTGTACTTACTGGTTTACCACCATGAAAAAAGCCTATAAAACTTTTCTGGATTTAAAATACAACCCAAATAGTCTGGATTTTAGCTTTGACAAAATGGAAGAGACAAAATTTGGACAATTGCATGGTATAAATGAGGTAATTACTATTTATGGTTTTTGAATTTGGTCCTGATTTTTGAATTTCAGGTTCTGAGTTTCATGCTTCCCGACTTTACATTGAATTTCGAAATCCCAGAATACCATCTTATTTTGAATCCTGCTATAGAGGATCATTCGGAAGTAATTGATGAGCTGGCCAAACGTTATCAGGCCAAATTAAGAAATGACTTGAAAGAGGCTGAAAATCAAGCTCAAATTAGGTATGTTTAAATTATTGACTTCTGCATATATTTCATCCCAATAACTTACTCACTTTCTACTAACTTAACGTATCTACAAACATCCGTTATACCGGGTGACAATGAAACTACTACCCATGGAAGCATTTCTTAACGGCTCAAGATAGAAATATGCAACTCGGTCTGTTGATAGGGTTGAAAATTGTGAACAATTTTAATATAAAAACAATTGAATGTCTTTTCCGGCTTTACCGGAAATGACAGTTTTTACATAAAATACAAACAAATAGGGATTACGACATATTTTTGAGCCACTCTATTTCAAAAACTATAATTTTTTGACATAGGGTATGTTAAACAAAAGTTATTTGGAATTGTTAAGAGTCAAAAAAAATATATATACAGGGTGTCCCATTTAAAATAACAAAGTCAATGGCATTTCCGGTGAAACCAGAAAAGTTGTTTTTATATTAAAATTGTTCATAATTTCCAACCCTATCAACAAACCAAGTTGCATATTTCTATCTCGAGCCGTTAAGAAATGCCGCCGTGGGTAGTAGTTTCATTGTCACCCGGTATATACATACAACTTAACTATAAACAATAGGCTCCTTGCATCAATTTTTTTATTGCTGATTTCGATAGTCCATGAAAAATAAGTCAACACGTGTTTTTTCTTTTTCTTCTTAGTCAAAAATTGACGGAGATACAACGCTATGAAATATGCCTATGACGTCACTTATCATATAAATTAGTGACGTCGCACATGCTTAGTATATCTATATAAGTTATAATACGTAAACTCGCGAAAGGGTTTTTAAAACAATTTATTTTATGCAAGTTACAACTACGGATTCTAACTCAAGACTGAATTATAATTTTTATTAAAATATTAACATCGGTTATTGTCCTCAATTAGTTATTACAAATATTGCTGATGCTGACGATTGCATCGGATTCCAATGTCGGTCGGTTGGCGTCGAGTTGAGAGGTGAATGGTATTACTATGCTTATATGGCACTAATGGCATATAACTCCTCCCTCACTAGAATGAAGCTTCCCCTGGAAGTCTTTTTGCTAATTCTTCTGGAGTATTCGGCGTCCTTTTTCTTTTTCCTCTGGTTTTTTTCGAGCCATTTTTTGAAAAAAACGGTGCTAAAATATACTAAAACAGCTGTTAAAATGATATACAATATTACAGTCCATAAACTAGGAACGTAAAGGCTTTCCGAATGTTCTATGTCAGGAAAACTGAAAGTTGGAAGATTTTCAAAACTGAGTTTCCTTAGCGGAATGCTAAGTGTGGAGACTTCTTGTTTTTGTAATTCCAGTTCCGGAACGCTGAATATCATTGGTCTTCCGTAGCTTTTTTCGAGAAAGTTGAGTTTGTTTCCTCTGAATATTACTTCACATGGGTGGTTTTCTATAAGTAGGATTCCCTTCAATTCCTTGGATTCTTTTCTATTGTCGCAATTAAGAGGCCAACAACAAATTCAAGCGCGCGAAATTCATTCTTTGTCGCCGAGTTCAAAGTAGGACCGTGATAGACGACGTTACGGCAAATATTTCCGAGATAACGGAAGGGTGTGATCAAATTGCATGGAAGGTGAATAATAAATCCTATGGGCTTTTGTGGAGGCAAAACTAATACACCTATCATATTTAATCTAAATTAAAAAGTATACGGTTATAATAATAGTTTTATAATTTACATTGTGCTTTTTATTTAACAAATAAGAATGTGGAGAATGAAATGTGCGGAAACACAAAAATATATTACAAAGATAATAAAATTTACCTATACAAATACAGCAAAATAGATACTTGAAATGTTTACACAAAAAAAAAGTGAGGTGGCGTAGTTACGAGGGTGGGAGAGATGATGTTTATTCGTTTATTACATAAAGATCTTCCAGAAAACCTAGAAAAATAATAAACATTGGTGAGATTGCTCATGAAAACCTCGGACACATCGATTTTTGATTTCAGTTGCCGTTTTTCTGATGGTAATATCATGTATACAGGGTGACCCAGAAACAAGTTGTGACCGCTAACTTTATTTTTTTAAATCAAAACATTAATTTTGAAGTGAAAACTTCTTTAGAATCGTTGGGAGTGATGTGAGACTCGATGAAACGAAAAAGCGACATGACACTTTTTTAACACGCTTATATTAACACACAACAAGAACCTGGAACAAGCCAAGTGAGCTGGAACAAGTCTGGAAAATGTCTGGATAAATCTGGATGAAGTCTGGAAAAGTCTGGAAATCTCTGGAAACGTCTGGAAAGAGCCTGGAAATTTCTGGAAAGGGTCGGAAAAATTCTGCCAAAGGTCCCAAAAGACCTGGGGATCATTCTCCAGAATCCGGATCAGTCTGTACAAGTCTGGATAAATCTGGATTAAGTCTGTAAAACTCTGGATAAGTCTGGATGTTGCCTGGAAAAGTCTGGAAACGTCTGGAAAAGACTTGGAAATTTCTGGAAAGGGTTGGAAAAATTCTGAAAAAGGTCCCAAAAGACCTGAGGATCATTTACCAGAATCCGTATCAGTCTGAACAAGTCTGAATAAAGTCTGGATTAATCTGGATGAACTTTGGAAAACTCTGGAAAGCTATGGATAAGTCTGGATAATGTCTGGAATTCTCTGGAAACGTCTGGAAAGAGCCCGGAAATTTCTGGAAAGGGTCAGAAAAATTCTGCCAAAGGTCCCAAAAGACCTGGGGATCATTTTCCAGAATCTGGATCAGTCTGTACAAGTCTGGATAAGGTCTGGATAAATCTGGATTAAGTCTGTAAAACTCTGGATAAGTCTGGATATTGTCTGGAAAAGTTTGGAAACATCTGGAAAAGACTTGGAAATTTCTGGAAAGGGTTGGAAAAATTCTGAAAAAGGTCCCAAAAGACCTGGGGATCATTTTCCAGAATCCGGATCAGTCTGAACAAATCTGGATAAAGTCTGGATTAATCTGGATGAAGTCTGGAAAACTCTGGATAAGTCTGGATAATGTCTGGAAATCTCTGGAAACGTCTGGAAAAGGCCTGGAAATTTCTTGAAGGGGTCGGAAAAATTCTGGAAAAGGTCCCAAAAGACCTGGGGATCATTTTCCAGAATCCGGATCAGTCTGTACAAGTCTGGATAAATCTGGATGGAATCTGGAAAACTCTGGGAAGCTCTGAATAAGTCTGGATAATGTCTCGAAAAGTCTGGAAATCTCTGGGGCTGACACGCTATTATAATACATCGAACTAAAAAGTGAAAAATAAATGTATTTTAAAAAAACTAAAAACCACGCTTTTATAGTAAATTGAACTAAAAAGTGAAAAATAATTTTTAATAGAAACAGAAAATATTAATGAACAAAAAATATTAGAATTATTGTCAAAAAAGCGTGGGGTGCTCAATGTATGAAAAATGTGGAACAAAGCACCCCAGCGTGTATTTTAGTTTTTTCAAACTATATTTATTTGCGTTCTTTCTCAAGTCTTTTGGAGGGGGGGACGCCACTGTGTATGTTAGTATGTGTGTAATGCATGCAGTTCGATGAAGGTTTCACTTCTACCGGGTGTGAACTGTACAGGATTTTTTTTAATTTCATTTATTTCTACGTTACATTCTGAACTTATTTAATGTATCATATCCTATACCTATCTTCAACTGTTTCGGAAATAATAAGAGTTGAAAATTAACTTTTTTGCAACTTTGACAGGCTTTAAAACCTCAACGGTTGATCTTAGAGCTAAACCGATCATACATTCTTATCTGAGTTTTCCATGAACTATCATTTGACACCAGCTTGGAAATTAATCCAAGATTAAAAATTCCATTGCTTGAGTTGTATTTTAGCTATTTTTGGGTTTGAAAAAAGGACGGTTCTAGAACGGTTCAAAACAATCGCACAGTTTATTATTGAAGTTTGTGATAGCTGAACCGCTGTCATTTAGTTGATTGATGAACTGTGCGATTGTTTTGAACCGTTCTAGAACCGTCCTTTTTTCGAACCCGAAAAGAGCTTTTATGAGAGAATTTCATGAATCAAAAATTTAAATTTTTTGTCAAAAAATGTTAAAACACCAGTGTCGCGCCAATTATCGCGTGAAGCCTAATTCTCACTTGCGCGAGATTCGCTCTTTTTTGACATTGCTTCAATAATTTGACGTTTGATACACGCATAAAACGTAAATCAACAATCAAAACATGTCAGTTTATTGTTGGAATGTCAGTTTTGACAGATGTATGAAATTCTAAATGTCGAGTGCAATGGAAATTGTCGATAATTTTTGGGAAATTTGCCCGGATGCATTTTTAGTTAAAAAGGAGCACCAGTGCTTTTTCAGTGCCCATTTCTGTCAAAAACGCATGAGTGCAAATTTGTCAAAAATTGAAAATATATTTCCATTGCACGAGTTGTACAGGGTGGCCCGTTTAAGAGGGGCCTATACCTTATCTCGAAATCTACGAGGGCTGCAAAAAAAAATTAAATACAAAAGTTGTTTCTAATAAAATTATCTAAATTTTTTTTGCATTGTTTTTGTTGTTACTCTACTATATACAGGGTGGAGAGATAAAATTTAATTTTTTTTAATGAAACACCCTATATATTTCAAAACACTTTCATATAGCCCTTTGAAAGACAAATCCAACGATATACTTGACATGTGTCTGTGATAAACCGTTTCGAACTTATTAGCGATAATCTTCAGGATCTGGGGTAATTTCAAACAGGCATTATTACGTTACTCATAAACTTTTAAAACTTTTTTTTGCATGCTATTTTTCATAAAATAATGCTCTTCTTTAGACTATTTTGAAATTTGGAATATTTGTTCAAAAAACGCCGTGTTGCCACGTTTCGCAAAATGTTACGCTTTTCAATTTTTTTAAATGGGACCTCCTGTTTATTTTCGAATTTTTGGATAGCCCTTTAAAATACAAATTCAACGATATACTGGAAATGGGTTTGTGATGCACCGTTTCGGCCTTATTGGCGATTATCTTCAGTTCTAGCACCATATTTTATG